AGGGGAGTCGGAAGGTCCAGGAGGCCTTGGGGGTCTGGGGGGTCTAGGGGACCCAGCAGGTCCAGAGGGAGGCCATGGGGACCCAGCAGGTCTAGGAGGTTTTGGGGGTCTAGGGGGGGACCTTGGGGGTCTGGGGGGTCTGGGGGGTCTTGGGGCCCTAAGGGGTCCCGCCCTGAGCACCAACGGGCTTCTGGACTGCTTGCTGCATCCTGACGTCATCAGCAGAGTGACCGAGCTGCTGCTGGACCGGAACGGGGGGCCCCGAGAGTCCTGAGGGGCCCCGAGAGTCCTGAGGGGCCCCAAAAACTACTGAGGGACTCCTGAGGGGCCCCAAAAACTACTGAGGGGCCCCGAGAGTCCTGAGGGGCCCCAAAACTCCTGAGGGACCCCAGAGAGTCCTGAGGGGCACGAAGACTTCTGAGGGGCCCAGAAGCTCCTGAGGGGCCCCAAAAACTCCTGAGGGTCTAAGAGGATCCTGAGGGTCCAAGAGGATCCTGAGGGACCCAGAAACTCCCGAGGGACCCAGAGAGTCCTGGGGGGCCCCAGAAACTCATGAGGGGCCCAAAAACTCCTGAGGGGCCCCCGAAACTCCTGAGGGTCCAAGAGGATCCTGAGGGTCCCAGAAACTCCTGAGGGGCCCAAGAAACCCCTGAAGGGCCCCAGAAACTCCTGAGGGGCCCCAAAGACTCCTGAGGGGCCCCAAAAACTCCTGAGGGGCCCACAAACTTCTGAAGGGACCCAGAAACTCCTGAGGGGCCCCAAAAACTACTGAGGGGCCCCAGAAACTCCTGAGGGGCCCCAAAGACTCCTGAGGGGCCAACAGGAGCCAAACATCGTCAAACAAACTGTTCAGTAACTTTTCCTGTTCAACAAACACGTTTGTAAAACTTTTGTCAGATTCTGATTTCTCTGATCTCTGATTTTATTCATTATTATTCATTTATTATCATCTGGATTTATTCATTATTATTCATTCATTATCCTATGGATTTATTTATTATTATTAATTTATTATCATCTGGATTTATTCATTATTATTCATTTATTATCCTCTGGATTTATTCATTTATTGACTTCTGGATTTATTCATTATTATTCATTTATTATGACAGCAGAACCTCTACATACCAATCTAACTGGTTCCAGGACAGGTTCATATGTTAAAATATTTGGATTTTGGTTCATAATTATAATTATGAAAAGATGTAATTAGTAAAAAAAATACTAAAAAAGAACAAAAAAAATAAAAGTTTGAAAAAGACCCAAAAAAATACCTTTTTAAAAGATTAATTAGTAGGAAAAGACAATGTCAGAAATCTTCCATCAGAATACACTGTAATTCCTAGAATTGGTTCCAAAAACCTACAATAACTCCTTAATAAATACTGCAGATAATTACACATAGCAAGAAAACAAATGACTTATCGAAGAGAGATGGAAAAATAAATAAATGATAAAGAAATAATCAATAAAAAGGGTTTTTATTGGCCCTTTGTGGAGGTAAAGGTGGTAACTTACTCTGACTTTACTACCTGAACTTTAAACTAACTTAGCTTATTTATTTTTATATGTATATGTATTTTTTCTATGACTTTGACATGTCGAATATTTGATCAAATTTCACTTTGGATGTTGGTAAATTCGTATGTTCAGAGTTTCTGCTGTATTTCTCATTTATTTTCTGCTCACCTGGTTGGATGAGACATATATATATATTTTTTTTTTCCTATGACTTTGACGTGTCAAATATTTGATCAAATTTCACTTTGTTCAGAGTCTCTCCTGTATTTCTGTGACTTTATTTAAGAAGCAATAGGTACCCATAAAAAAAAAAGCATTTTTGATAATCTTTATTAAGAATTACAAACGGCACAAAACGAGCTTCAACACGG